AGATAGATAAGTAGCAGTCTCACTTACGGAGGTCCATGAGGGAAAAACGACTCTCTTAAGAGACTAACCTTTATTAGCGAGAAACAGAAACCTTAGTTAGCAAAGGTTTCTGTTTCCCACTAATAGAGGTTTTGGGAGCTTAAAATGACGGGTCCTGGCTATTACTCTCACTTATAGAGTTTTCTCACTTATCCAGTTCTCACTTAGCCAGGTTTGACTGTATATAAAAAAATCGGCTCACTTTGTTTGTCCGCGATGAACTTCTGAACTAATTAACTGATTTTAATGAAACTTCATACACTGTGTGTAGTTTCGCCCAACTTGAGAAATAGAACAGTTTTTATCTCAATATTGCTAATTATTTGTTTAATATATGACAAAAATAGCTAATATTAATTTAAGTAGGACGTATCGACTCCCAATAACTCCATTATTCGATGCACAGCCACCAACGCGAAAGCCAAGAGTTGTGTATAATTTTTCAAGAAGTTCCAGCTAATTAGAAGCCAGTCCGTACGGTCTCGCCTCTGGGCAATTAGTCTCAGTTAAAACTGAAGTACCCCTGATACCGACAGACTAGGTTTTACAATACTTTCATCAATTCTACTTTTGCTGGATTCTTTTCATTGCATTCGAAACGAATCATTCTGCGGAATTAACATAAACTATTATAGATATATATTATAGATATAGATATTATAGATGATGATAGATGTCCACTAGGACAGAGGAAAAGAGGTAGACCAATTACACGATGGGCAGATGACATCATAAAAGTAGCAGGTGTACAATGGCCGCGAGCGGCAGAGAATAGAGAGTACTGGTCATCTCTGGAGGAGGCCTTCACCTTTCATTGAGAGGGTTCTTGCTAACATAAATAAACCCTGACTAATTTAACCAATTAAATCAATATTTAGTACTTTTCAATGTAAAAATTATTCCAAATGTTATGTATATTATTTCTTAAAATAAGAACACAATTCAATACTTCTTATCACTCATAACATGTACATAATCAAAAAAAAATAATCAAGATTCAATTAAAAATTATTTTGTTAATTATTTTGAATATTGGATAATAAATTTAAAAATGTGAATTATTTTGCATGCATATTAATAATGTAAATTTTTTTTGGTATGAAAAGCAAGAAATAAAAGGCTTTTTTATTTTTATTTTTATTTTATTTATTTATTTATTATAGATGATGAGGTTTTTTTTTTTTGGATGACGCCATCTTGTTGTGTTTTTAAAGCGGTTAGTAGCCCTCGATTAAGAAAAATAGTATTATTATTCGCCAATAGATGTCTGGAAGAGATGATTATTGAATACACGAATAAAAAACATTTTCTGAAAATAAATCGTAGCTAGATCGATTTATCGCCCCCGAAATCCCCTGTATACTAAATTTTATGAAAATCGTTGGAGCCGTTTCCGAGATTCAAATTTTAAATATATATACAAGAATTGCTCGTTTAAAAGTATAAGATAAGATAGGTAACATTTCATTAATAATGTACATTGATTTGAAATTATAATAATAATAACCGGGAACAAGTCACATAAGGCTACCAAGCCCGTAACTGGTAAATATTTACTGGGAACCAGAGTATGAGATGTAACTATAGTGAGACCTTAGAACTCATATATCAAGGTGGGTGGCGGCACTTACGTTGTAGATGTCTACGGGCTCCGGTAACCACTTAACACCAGGTGGGCTGTGAGCTCGTCCACCTCGTCGATAACGCATTTTATTTATTTATTGCGGTTATGATTTTTATGTCACGACGTTGTTCATACATCGTGGAACTCAAACGTGAACTTATGTCCAGTAAAGTTATTTAATTGAAAAAAATCGGTTGTCTGTAGAGTCGGTTTACTGACGATAGTTGAACGTGACAACGTCATAAGAAAATACTGATGGAATGGTTTCATTTTTCGAAAGAAAATTAGAGAGACAGATGTCGAACGTTGCCGGAGGCCGATTGTGCCTCTTTGTCGCTCGTTGCGCGCTCTCACTTGCACTTCAAGCCTTAAATGGAACGCCTCAATGAGTCAGGTTTTTTCGTGCGTGCAGCCGGCTCCATTAAATTATAAGACGTTGTCACGTCAAAAAATCGGTACCCGCCCGCTGTTTTAGGGCGCTGTTAATGGAACATCTTAGTTTTTAAGCTGTCACGTGTTCTAAAGTATATCGATCAACATCAAAATACTAGCCGCCACCTACGATATGAGTTCTGAGGTTTAAATTTTTACAGTACAACGTCCTAATTCTCGTCGTTCACGGAATAGCGAGCTTTATTGAGAAGCAATTCTTGTCCCGAAACGTAATCTTAGAATAATCCAGTGTCGAATGTGTTTGTACAACTGAAAGGCTTTGGCGGTAAACGTTGAGCTTACATGAAACATTCATACGGTGTGTCCTTTTCACTCGCCTCACCTACCCATTATCCGTCCCTTTCGTTCAGCAATGAAGGAAATCTCCGAATATTCGGAAGGTTTGTACGGGTGGTGCTCAGAGAATGTGATCTGAAAATGAACGAGGTTTTTTTTGCGGGAAATTTATTTGAGTCTGACTTATTACGCAATTGCAAGACGTTCGATATATCAATTGTATTTATATTTATCTATTTAACTTAATGCACAGAAGTACAAACGGCGGACTTAATGCCTGAGGCATTCTTTACCAGTCAACCAAGGGTGATGTAGAGAATCCTGTGTTAGGTGCATAACTTAATGTGAAAATAACCAAACTGATAATAATACTTCATACATATACAAACACATACACGGTATATATAGTTATATATAATCACATAAACAACGTACACAATATTATATCATGATAATAATATAAAATGTACACATATATCTATATATAATCTCTATCATATACTCATAATTATATTCATATACACACTTAAACACAACATAAAAATATAACAAATTTATCAGAGAAATAGACGAATATATACATATATAGTACAAGAAAATTGTATATTGCACAGAAACACTACATATATTGCGAGTCAAATTATTAAGTTTTTAAGTTTCTCCAGAAAAAGTTGGCGAACCTTTATTTTGAAAGTTGGGCGATCAGTGATCATCCTAACATTAAGAGGAAGTGAATTCCAAAGTTGAACAGATTGAACTACGAAAGACGAACGGACCAAACTAGAGTTGTGCGTGGGACAATGGAGGAGTAAATTACTAGAGGAACGCAAGTCCTTATCGTGCGAAGAATGTAAATATTTAAAGTACTGAGTCAGATAGGAGGGAGCAGTTGGGCATGTTAGTATAGAGTGAAGTGTAATAAGAGCATGTAGATTGCGGCGCTCGCGTATAGGAATAAAATTTATTTTGGAGCGGTAAGTAGACACGTGGTCATACTTGCGAAGATTAAAAATGAATCGAATGCAGTTGTTGAGAAGGCAGTCGAGTTTGTTCAAAAGGTCTGCATTCAGGTCAAGATAACATGCATCGCCATAGTCAATTATGGGGAGGATTAAAGATTGAACAAGCATCAACTTTATCTTGAAAGGGAGAAAGTTCTTGAAGCGATAAAGGGCACGCAGAAATCCAGTAACCTTCCGACTAACGTTCAACACCCAATCAAGTCTAGAATCCATATACAGTCCAAGGTTTTTGACTGATGGGCTCAGAGGTATAATTGCTCCATTATAAGTTACGGGTGGGAGTGAGCTAAAATCTAATCGTCCCAACAAACGGGGACTACCAATTGACCGTCAAACCAAACCTACCAGACCAAGCGCATATAACCTCAAGATTCCCATTCACTCTGCGAACCGCTTCAGACACACAGTCCACAGTAGCCTGCGAATACAGCTGTACATCATCATCGTACAGGTGATAGGAACACTGACTGTGTTATGAGATTGATAAAGAGAGATAAAAGCAAAGGGGAGATAATTACGCCCTGAGGGACACCAGTATCTAGATCACGCCATGAAGACGAAGACTCATCAATGCGGACCGATTGCTGGCGCCCTCGAAGATATGATGTAAACCATTTCAGCACCTCAGGCAAAATCATAAGATAGGACAGGATAGATAAAAGGATTTTGTGTCGGTATTAAAGGCATTAGAGAAATCCACTAAAGCCAACAAATAGTGTGTATATACTCAAAAGTTAATATTTTTTGCTGCAGACAATACTCACCCTTACTAGCAGCATGAACAGTCGTAGGCCTTTGTGCACCTCCCTGGTAAGTAAGTGGTCATGGAAGTCATACGCCATGGGCTGTGTCGTGTCCTAAAAAAGCACAATCCCATCTTTTCGGGATTGTCGCAAGACTACTTTTTTATTTTATTGCTTAGATGGGTGGACGAGCTCACAGCCTACCTGGTGTTAAGTGGTTACTGAAGCCCATGGACATCCACAACGTAAAACAGCCACCCGCCTTGAGATATAAGTTCTAAGGTCTCAAGTTTTAGTTACAACGGCTGCCCCACCCTTCAAACCGGAACGCATTACTGCTTCACGGCAGAAATAGTGGTAGGATGGTGGTACCTACCCATACGGACTCACAAAAGGTCCTACCACCAGTAAAAACTGCGTCTACTACCGGATCAAAATAGCGACCCGCTGTGAAGAACCCGCGAGAAACTCTTCAATGCGCGTGTTCAAGTTCAACGACATTTTATTAAAAATGAACAAGGTTTAAATTAATTAAAAAAACTATTAATTTTATAATCAATAGGTAAACAAAAAACTGACTATAATCGTATTGTATAATATTATTCATTCGAAAAAAATCTAAATCCTCTATAATCTACTGATAAAATACCTAGTTGGTGAATTCCATCAAGAACATATATTTTGCGTGTCATTAATTCAGTCGCTACATTCGTCTTTGTTTAATTATCTAATCAACGGACCCCGACCATTATTATTATAAGTTTATCGGTAAAGAGATAAAATGTTTTATATAAATTAAAAGGAAAACGTTCTCAAGTTTCACATTAAATTATATTCGTAGCAATGGGGGGCTTAACATTCGAAGGCGCATTGAAAAACATCAGTCACATCCAGCTTGAATTTATCAAGGAGGTCCTCGAGAAAAGGGGGTACAATGACAGAGTGGTTCATGTAGAGGCGGTCGGGGCGGCCGGAGACAACTTCATCGCCAACGTCAAAAGGATAACAGTCGATGGCGAGAATGGCCCCTTCAAAATGATCGCTAAAATCGCCCCTCAAAATGAAAACGTTAGGATGGCCACACAAACACAGGTCTTATTTGGCAACGAACACCACATGTACACTGTCGTTTTGCCGAAATATCAGCAGCTAGAAGAAGAAGCAGAGATTCCTAATGACGACAGATTCAGATTTGCCGAATGCTATGGCTCAAGCACTCAAGTCCCGCATGAAGTGATATTACTAGAAGATCTACAGGTGCCGGGTTTTAAGATGCTGGACAGGTTCACGTCTCTGTCTGACGAATGCATTCGGTCCACGCTCAAAAACTTCGCAAAGTTCCACGCTCTATCGTTCACGCTTAAAAATAAACAGCCAGAAACCTTTAATTCGCTGAAGAGTAAATTATTCGATATGTGGAGTCACATGGATAGCTCAGCTGATATATACTTCGGAAAACTAGAAGCTGGTGCTGAGCAGCTCGTGGATGGCGAAGAAAGGAAGAATATAATCAGGGGTGCCATTGGAAAGGCGCTTTCTATGGCACGAAAAATTGCTCAAGTTGAATCAGGGTCAAAATATTTCGTCATTCAACAAGGAGACTCGTGGACTAACAACATAATGTTCAGATATGATGTAAGTTTAGATGTGCTTAGATGTGTTTGCTTTTGGTAGGGCCTCTTGTGAGTCCGCACGGGGTAGATACCACCCTGCCTATTTCAGCTGTGAAGCAGTAATGCGTTTCGGTTTGAAATATGGAGTAGCCGTTGTACTGTAAAAACTGAGACTTGAACTCATTTCTCAAGTTGAGTGGTGGCATTTCAATTGACGTCTGTGGGCTCTAGTGACCACTTTATAGCAGGTGGATCGAGAGCTCACCCAGTTATCTAAGCAATAAACAAAATTAATACTAATCATACCAACACTTACTGGTACCTTTACTACCATAGCGGGTGGGTAACGGTATACGACAAGTATTACTCAAGATAAACAAAACAAAACAAAAAAATAGTATAATAACTGTAGATTAATAGGTAAGAAAAATTCACGAAGTCAAATGTGCAAAAGCAATAACATGATACGTATATTTTAAATGCAAAAGTTCAAAACGGGTCATTTGAACTGTTACAGTATGTTTAGTGTTAACTAATTACATTAAAACATCTGCGTATTTAGTGGAAACTGCCAGTGCGTATTGTCAAAAAGTCACCAGTTCCGCTTCCAAGGGCCGTTATAAAATACAAATGAGACTTCGAGCTCATGTCTCAAAGTGGGTGATAAGAATTAGTGTACCGCCAGCTGTTATCCGTCTACACAATAAATAAAGAAATAAACATCAGTAAACAATATGTTTACTGTACTGTTGTATATGTTATATGTTCTCAAGTGATAAATACAATAGAAAGTAATAATTAATTGCGTACTGCGGTAGATACTTTCCTCTGATTACGGTGTCGCTCTTTGTAATTTTTCAATCCGGTATGCGTTCGAATTTCAACAATAATATAACAATCTCTAATGTAGACACCAATTGACAAAAGAAAAAAGACATGCCCGCTGAGTTTCTTGCCAGTTCTTCTCAGGACGGAGGCTAGTTTTTGTGAATTGGCGGTAGATTTGATTTGACAATTCGATCGCGAATTTCCGAGCAGCTATCTCGCTGAGGAATCAATGGACTTTCTTCTTCTCAGTCGTTCACTCCTGGCGGGTTGGTCGTGGTTACGTAAGTCTTAATGCTTGGTTGCGGCTTTTGAGAGACTTCTCCATCTTTCTCTATTTGTGGCGGTACGTGTACACTCAGTAACACTTCGTAGATAACTTAACCAAGTCCGTCCACCTTGTGGATGATCGGCCGCGAGAGCGTTGACCGTCTACTCTTCCTTGAACCACTAAACGTTCCAATGACCTTTCATTACGAGTATTTAGTTGGACGTAAATTTGGCCGTTGGCTGATAAACAACCATATTATATCCGCGCTTACATAATGTTTACCGCGTAAAATTGAACCTTTTTAATCGTATAGGCTTACAATACTACGCCGATAACGTATTCAAAACAAAAAACGTTTATCATTTTATCTTTTGGACTAATAAAAATAATTTAATATATTTTAACTGTCACTTCGAGAGAGTTTTGTTGGTCGCTGTTAAATATAAAATTCTAAGAGTAATATTATCTCTAAATAGTCATTTATGATCTTGACAATAACGCATTATGTTAGTTGTGGGTTATTGTTCAAGAAGAATTTGCTTCATTAAAGTTAAATATTAAATTAATAGTTGAGGAGAAATCACGCACGCTAACCTGGCTTCAAGCTTGAATTAACTGCACTATGGAAATCATATACCGGTATAATAATATACTATGTCAATATACCTTTAATTCACGTGTATATTTGTATTGTATATTAAACTCACAGACTTAGACCAAACAAACCTGTTCGTCACATGAGTCTTTACCCGGAATTTGAACGCAAGACCTTCAACCCAGCAGTTAGGAGTGCTAAATATTCCGTCACCGGGTAATTTAAAACTATTTACTAATGTTATTGGATTGTAATTAATAGTAGGAGCTCGAAGTCCAATCTGACATTTATCTTCAGATTTTTACCGAATCACGCAGTATTCTATCATTACTGTGACATAAATGCCAATGCCAATTTTCTGATAACTGGAAGAACCGTTAGATCCTCTAATACTTCATCTGAAAAACTTTCCATGCGATAACATCCTTGTAACAAATTGTTATCATTTGGAGCATATAATAATCGGAACATGACTAATGACTTTCAAAGCCCTGGAATTATGATTACAATTAGATAAGTTATTAAAATGAAAACAATAGTTTTATGATAATGATATGATCAATGATAATAATGTAATGATAAAAATATCCGGTTATCAACGGAAATTATGGGTAATTTCCAAATTATAATTACGAAATGATAGTAGGCACGCTTTTACTCAATTCAAACCCACTGAGTATCTCGTCGGATCTTCTCAGAGGGTCGCGATTCTGACGGTAAATTCTGCAAAGCACTGCTCTTGCTAGGGTCAGTGTTAGCACAGTCTTTCAGGTTCAGCCCCGTGAGCTTACCTACTAGTCACAGCGTAGCTAGAATGGCTTCTTTCTAGCCATTCTAAAAAGAAGCCATTGTTAGAATGAACTACCATCGAATAGGTAAAAAATAACAACTTAGAGAGAGATTTCTATCTGTGTCTGAATAATGAATTTTTAGTAGTACGGTGAGCTACAGATGTTTTTAGATATACCTAAAAATTTAGCACACTGTTAATACAATGAACTGTTGAATACAAGTTAATGTATGTAAATAAGCGAGTTGGTATTGCTGGTCGAATGCTGCTCACTTGAGGAATTGAAGCGATTTTAAATTTAATTTAATTTTAATTTTTCGCAGCCCACTATAAATTAATATTTTCTGTCTCATAGCAGCTTTGACGTGAGTAAATATTGAAGAATCTGGGAAACAATCTGGGGAACTGGGAACAAATAAAATTGATAACGACCTTTTCGCAAACCATACCACCAATATCAACTATAAACATGTTGATTTTAACCAAACTTTACCCAAAGTATGTATTCAGTTTTGTTTTTGATCTTTTTTTTCAGGGTGAAAACCTCGTCGAATCAGTATTGATCGACTATCAAATCTCCAAAGAAACGAGTCCCGTCTGCGACATCCAATACATGATCTTCAATTGCACCGACCACAAAACCAGACTCAAATATTTTAACGAATGGCTCGACTATTATCACGCAGAATTAGAAAAACGCCTAACGAATTTCGGACTTAAAATCGTAAATGTATACCCCAGGGAACAATTTGACGTCGACATGAAGAAATATAGTGGAATGATGTTGGGACTCTCTACTATTCTCGCAAGCGTACTAACCATGAATTCAGAGGACGCTGGGAAAATGAAGGAAACGATGGAATCGACATCACCAGATGAACTACCAGCAAACAACGAAGTAGAAGATTACAATGTTGAGCACACGATAAAATTTAAAACTAGACTCGAAGGTCTTATAGATAGTTATCTTGAATTCAATTTAATTTAGTTTATCAGTATTATAGAAATATGAAAGCTATATAATTCAAGTGTTTATAAAACATACCGTACGTTAGTGAATGATAATGATAAATGTAGAATGTGAGTTTTTCAAATGTTAAATGATATTATTGAGTTAAAAATAAATTCTAAAAGCGTTTTCAATTGTATTAGAGGCGTCGAAGCCGCATTGAATAATTGCAGCAGTAGTCAGCAAACCCCTACCCCAATGTTGTTGTTAATAACTACTTAGTATGGCCATGTTACAATTAAAAATAAAAAAAATCTATTGCAAATAACATTTATTACTTTTACAGTGTGTTAGTTTAATATATAAATATAAAACAATTTAAAGTATAAAAAGCTTATTCGAAGTGGTCTCCATTGGCTGCAATACAGTCCTTTAAGCGTTGAGGCCAGTTATCAATAGAAGCACGCACTCTTTCCATGGGAAAATTTTTCACTGCCAATCGTACGGATTGTTTTAGGGACTACAAATTATCATGGCGTTTAGAGCAAGCCGTACTCTCTAAAACTCTCCGGAAATCATAATCCAGCGGATTAAGATCAGGACTAGATGACGGCCAGTCTTCAGCTCTGATGAAGTCCGAAACGTTCGTTTCCAACCAAGACTGCGTAGACCGAGCTTTATGACCTGGCGCCTAGTCTTGCTGGAAGGACCATTCTTGATTACTGAACATGGTGTTGTTAAGGGGCTTCACTACCTTCTCAAAAATGGTATCTTGATACAGTTGTGCCGACGTTTTGATACCTTTTTCACAAAAGTATGGCTCTGTCACTCCTTCATAGCTAATACCCCACCAAACGATCACTGAAGTCGGATAGTGCCCACGTTGCACTCTGTCGACTAATCGGGAAGCTTCCTTAGAGCTTTGAGCATAAATACGGTCATTTTGTTTGTTAAAATGTTGCTCAATTGTAAAAAAATTCTCATCCGTAAACAAATTTTTTCTATGACCTCCCTTTGCGGACCGCTTCGATTGCTAGTTGTTTCGATTTTACCACCCTATTCCTTTTAAATTCAGTTAAGAAATGACCAGTACATTTCTTATAGGCTGCAAGTCCTAAGTCATCTTTTAAAATACGCGACATGGCTCTAGGTGCTATCTTCATCTCCCGAGATAAAATCTTTTGCTTTCGGACAGGATTTCTTCGAATTCTTTCCCTTACTCCTTTGACCACCTTTTTCGTACGAACACTACGTGGACGGCCAGATCTTTATCTGTCACAAGCATAGGAGGTCTCATTGCACCTATTAATAGCCCGGTACACAAACATTTTACTAATAACAAGCGTATGGAGAGTTTTAAAAATTGCATTTGGCTCCATACCTACTTTGTGTAATGCAATCACAGCGATTCGGTTCTCTTTATCACCCCACTCCATTTTAATATCACTAAATATTGTACAATGTATTTTCGCCAAAATGAGAAAACTCAATGAGCAATCATATAAAAATGACAGATTCCAAATTCAAATGTAATATTTTGTTTATTTTTAATTGTAACAGTATTTATGGCCAGACTAAGTATATAGGTTATTAACAACAACAAAATTTCTATTATATAATATCCTACCTATCGGGTTCATTAGATTATAGATTAATGAAAATGTTGTTATAGTTATTGTTCGACTTTCCTCAATCACTCACAACCTTTAATTCCAGATATAAATTGGTGTTACAACTTATCTGTGGCCCTTGAGTAATCAAGACGTTGCTATAAAGCGTAGAATCCCATGGGCGCAACACCAGCTCAAACTGAGTTAGGATCAGGAGATGACTCGTTTTTCACAATATTCATCAGCGACTAATACTTCGCTTCCTTCGCTGAACAAGATATTTAAACAAATATATAGTTTTTATTCGTATTAACAAAACAACTCAAAACCTTAAGGTGAGTTGTTTTAATTTGTCGTTGGCGTCAAAGGACCCCTTAAATTGGCACTTCTTGGAGGGAACGCGAGGAGCAAAGTCGTGAGAATTGTTTTTTTTTGAATGTAGTGTTTCTTCAGGTTTGAATGTGGAATAAAAGTGGTTTATTGACTGCTTAGCTGCATCTTAGCATACATCTTAGCGAAGGCGATGGCTTATGGCCGAGCTGTGATTTTCTACCACATTAAGTTAGGAGGATATCCTGCAGTCGGATGGAAGATCGCGCTCCTTGCCCCTAATTGTTTTGATCCAGCGAAGTATTACATAGAATGGTAGTGCAACCGTCTGGACCGCAGATCGAATGTCCTCCCGTGGCCCCCACAATTACGGGACCGGGGTTCCCGTTTAGCTGGAGTAGAAGAGGTCGATGGGGTTTACTGGGTAGTCGTCACGCGGCACGTTGCTTCACGAGCCTTCCTCAAGACGTAGTCTCCCACAATGAATCGTAGTACCTCGTTCTTCATTCGTTTGCTCCTCTTTTCTTTGGGAGGAATCTGAATTCGGCATTACCCAACCCGTACCCTCGTGGCCGGGAATCCGTATAGTATGATTTCCCAGCGTTAAATAAAACCGGATTCACGCATTCAATTCAATTAAAATAATGAATTCTAACGTTGTATACTGTAAAATCTATGTTAGTAAAAATGTTTAGATACAAAGTACAGTTTTACTACAAACAATACACAATTTCATATATCACTTACTCAAGATTATTGCGATCAAGCCACTCGCATTTACGTTTACCGAATATTCTGTTCCCAGAAGTGCTATTTCATGATTTATTTATGACTACTTCATACTCGGCTTATGTTTGTAAAGCCATTTATTGTGATTCAAATTGCGTATGTACCTTTATTACGAAGTGTTGGCTTTTGACTCGTGCTCCTGTCACATATTGATATTATTTTATTTTAACTTCTATTATTTTTATGATTCTGACTTTGATAATACCAACAAGTGCTGGTTCTAATTTTTTTTAAACTTGAATATAATATTCCTAGCTGGAATTTAATCTCGCAAGAACATTTCTGGTGCAAAGGAATCTTTAAGGTTGGTAACGACATTTTTTTTTATTGCCGTATGAGCAGACGAGCATACGGCCCACCTGATGGTGAGTGGTTACCGTCGCTCATGGACGTCAGCAATGCCAGGGGCAGAGCCAAGCCGCTGTCTACCTACATTTTTAAAGTTGTCGTGGACTAAAGGATAAGATGCCGAGTGCGTTCGTATCTAGCGATGCGACTGTGCCGGTGTTAGAATCCCGCAGGCTGAACCATTTTTCTGATCAAAAATGTAGCCCACTGAGTTTCTCGCCGGATCTTCTCAGTGGGTGTCGTTTCCGATCCGGTGGCAGATTCTGCGAAGCACTGCTCACTACTCTTGCTAGGGTTAGTGTTAGCAACGTCGTCAGGTTTGAGCCCCCTGAGCTCACCTATTTGTTTAGGTTACGCTGAAATGGTCTGTCAAGACCATCAGCTTAAGTAGGAGACAAAAAAATGTTCTTAACAAATATTCATGACTGAAATTGTGTAAGAAAAATTAGACGCAAAAATTATAAAATAGCGAATGTATTTGAGATATCCTTTACACGGGTATTCTAGTTTCAAAAACATGATAGTTGATAATTTTTGTTATTTGCAATAATAAACACAAGAAGGCCAAAATATGATTGTTTTGAAAACAACTTTGTTTGTTACTAATCTCAAAAAGTTGTAGCGTGAGGTCATTTCGATTGATATAAAATTTTAGTGGTATAAAATCCGGCATGATTAACTGATAGCCTAATCTTTGGTCGGCTTTTGCTGATAAGACGGGAACTGGAATCTTCGTTTTTGTTTGTGTGAACGAACTCTCAGTGAACTGAGGGTTAGTAGTATCTATAGTAGCCTATAGCCCGTTGTCTATAGCCTATAACCCTGTTTTCTGTAGACATTGCAACGTGAATAGCTCGCCTCGACATATGAGGCATTATAGCATTACGACATATGAGCTCGTCTCGACATTGAAAATAGGAGCTGCAAATTTAATCAACTTATCTAATCATTGTATTTCCTTCGGCATTCGCGAGTCCGCATGTCCGCTTACGGTTCAGTCTCGCATTTTTAGAGACCATTTTTTATTTATTGCTTAGTTGGGTGGACGAGCTCACGGCCCACCTGGTGTTAAGTGGTTACCAGAGCCCATAGACATCTACTCAGTACAGTCTATAGACATCTAGCAATAAAAGAAAAAGCTTGACATAAGAATTCTAAGGTCTTAGTATAATTAAAACGGCTGCCCCACCCTTCAAACCGATACGCATTACTGCTTCACGGCAGGAATATGCGAGGTGGTGGTACCTACCTGTATGGACTCACAAGAGGTCCTACCACCTGTAAATACGCAAATTATAATTTTGCGGGTTTGATTTTTATTACACGATGTTATTCCTTCACCGTGGAAGTCAATCATGAACATTTGTTAAGTACGTATTTCATTAGAAAAATTGGGACCGATTGGGATTCGATCACCGTTGCATCACTCGATACGAATGCACCGGACGTCTTATCCTTTAGGCCACGACGACTTCTAGCCCAACTACTATCCCGCAGGAACCAAAATACATGACCCCTTTGCTGGAGAAATAGGCTGAATGGCGGTACCTACCAATGCTGGTTCACAATATGCCCCACCGCCGGAAATAACGCATTCCATTCCGAAGCAAAACGTTATTCATCTTCGTATTATTACCAAGAATATCCCTACAACAATAAAATACATTCGCGAAATACAGACAGACCCCCTAACCCCATAACATGGAACAAAAGGAGCCCCGTTTTAATTCCCGCATCCTCGTGGCGAACGCAACGAGAAATATAAGACAAAACAATATTCGGGACGGCGATATAAAAGAAAAAAGAAAGAAAAAAAAAAAAAAAGAAAGANCGGAACAAAAGGAGCCCCGTTTTAATTCCCGCATCCTCGTGGCGAACGCAACGAGAAATATAAGACAAAACAATATTCGGGACGGCGATATAAAAGAAAAAAGAAAGAAAAAAAAAAAAAGAAAGAAAGAA